ATCCATGACTATGACAGGCTCTGGTGGGTTTGGATGTATTCCTGAACAGCTAAAACTCTGCCTTTTCCACTCTACCAACTCAAAATGGAGGCACATGCAGTCTGAGAGACCTCGGAGAGCTTTCACTGAGCTTGTGCTATGACCTAAGCCTGCACGCAGAACGCAGAAACTTCGCCCTCGGACTGACAGGACTGAGCATGTGCTGTGACCCTCCCTCATCCACACGCTGCCTTACAACGCAATCAATCTCAACCCCGCTGTTTCCGTAAATAAAGCGCAGGAGCAGCCTCCTCCTCCTCCGCAGCTCCTGCATACCAAGCTAGTGTGCAGGGAAGTGGGGCCTTCGCGAGGGGATCTGGTACAGCCAACGCTCCAGCAGCGGGAGAGCTCTGCTCCGGCACGTTGTACTGAGCTTCTGCAAGGGGAACACACAGCGGTTTTAAAAGAGGCTGCTAAAAGCCTTCTTTCCTAGTTTGTGATTAGCTTCTCCAAAAAATCCCATTGATTTCAAAGGCTTAGAGGTTTTCACAGATGCAAACAGGAGCTTGGTATTTTAGTAGACAATTAATTTGTTAGGAAATGAAGCAGCAAGCTGATTCACAAAATGCGTCTGTTCTACCTGTCAATAATGCAATCTACGGGAACACTTAATGAATACTAATTCCCAGCAACGATGTCACCGCCCTTTACAGGGACCTGCGGACACATGGTGAACCCAAGCGGAGTCAGACCTGACTCACTGCCTGAGCTTCCCTCATCATCCTTTCTGTTTATTAATGCCATTTTCAAAAAGCTACTCATCTCTCCAAGGGTAATATCCCTTTCCCCTACAACATCAAGTGCTTTCATGAGTATACCTGCCTCTGCTTCAGAGCACCTGACGCTCCTGAAATGTATTTCTGGATTTTTTGCTGCTGTTGTTCTAGTTTGGCGTTTTTTCCCCTCAAGTTCTCAGCTTTTACGCTACTCTGCGGTTCAGAGATAAACTGAAGTACAGACACACAGGAATAACGTATTCCAAATGATATTACTAAGGGTGATAACAGCCAGAAAGAACAACCCAAGGAAGTTATAAATCCATTTATCTAAATACAGCTTTGGGGAGGGTTTTTTGTCTGTTTGTTTGAAAGCCATCAACTGCGAGGCACCTCAACGCATGCCAATACCTACTGACATGCAGTGAGGGGGCTCAGCACCTTCCATAATTCTTTCCCGGGAATATTAAACAAGAATGATACAAAACAACTTTGCTGTAATTTACTAAGACATACAGAAACCATCTGTTTCACATCACACGGGCATACCATACAAACAGTCCTCAATTTCCCCCATCAGGAGTATTCCTGATTGTATTTAAAACTGTTAAACCTATTTAAAAAAAAAAATTGGACTTGCAATACGCTGTAGGAATTGTCTTACTTAAAGTATGCCACCAACTGTCAGTGTTCTAAGCGTAAGCATAATAACAACTCATTTTAAGGCTCTGATCCGAGACATAAGGATACATTTAAAAACCTTTATGATCATTTCACCCTCTCTCACTGCCCTAGGCATTATAATATGCACAGAATCAAAATATTGTGACTGCTAAAAATTAACCAGACAAAAGGATGAAAATAGCACAACAGAGCTCTGCAGTCCTCTTTAGCTTCTGTTCGCATTTTGGTTTATCAACTTAGCATTCAATACAATTTTTTCCAAAGGGCAATAATAAGAGGACACTGAAAATCCTGTTTACCCACAACTCCGCACTGGATTCTTGATTTGGTAAGAATATACACTACTCTTATCTGTTTCTAGAACTGAAACTTCTTCTCCGTCCACTATGCTTTCCATTGA